TTGTTGTTTGGCAGGCCTGGGCTGGGGATTCGAACCCGCCACCTTAGGTGTACGTGGCTGGCGCCTTAGCCGCTTGAGCCACAGGCGCCGAGCCGCTTGTAGATTTCTTAACTTATTACTACATCACACGAGGCCCTGGTCAGATGTATGTACACCCCTAAGCTATCCTGTGGCCAGGGTGGGGTCACACACGGCTTCCCAGGGCCATCAGATAGGACAGAGATGTAATACTGATGTGTCTGGCGTGGAGTGGTTTCCCCTCCCAGGTAAAGGGCTCAGACTCTGACAGAACAGACCCAGTGGAGGTGAGGTGGGTGGCCAGGGTTGGGGCTTACAGGCTCACTCTCCTTTCTCTTGTTTGTTGGCAGCACTGATGTCTTCATCTGCACAAGCCCCATCAAGATGTTTAAGTACTGTCCCTATGAGAAGGTAAGGCTGCATCTTGCATGGGAGCGGGAAGGGGGCCCTCCAGGTGCTCCTACCTCTGTGCTGGCTGCTATGCTCACTTGGGCCCTCTGCGGCCCCTGCCTGGGGTTCCTAAGCATGGATGGGGCCTGGTTATTAGGCTGGTGCTCTGTGGGGATAGGTGGGGCCGCACGTCACTGGTTCAGATTAGCTTGGCCCAGAGCAGGCTGGTGAAGCATGCTCGCAAGTGAGAAGGAACTGGTAAGGGGCTACAGGCATGTGGACTTGTTTTCATGGACAGTTTGACAAGGGAGAGGTGGCTAAAGTTCACTCATTTCATTGTCTCTATTGGAAAGAATTAGAATTGCACAAAATTGAAACTTTTCTGGAAATTGGGAACCTTTGGTTGCCAAACCACCAGAGGGCATCAGAGACACATCTGAGCATCTCTTCCCACCCCAGGAAGGTGGGCTTTTGTGCCAGAGCTTCCCCTGCTTGGGGACTTCAGAATGTTTGAGTTCTTTCGTGTTTCTTCACAAGACCTTTCCTCTCCCCGACTCCTGTTAGAAGCTCAGCTTACACACCCAGCCAACACCGAGTGCCTCCAGGCACTTCAGTGGCAAGGGAGTCTGGCTCTGTGTGTCACTTGGCTTGGTATCACTGTTTCATTGTGTCCTCACAACACCGTCCAGCAGTTACCCTGACCTGCTTAACACTCAGGGAGCACATTCCAGTTAAACTCAGGAGGCGAAGTGTCTCCCTCAGAGTTAGTGAGTAAGGACCTGGGAGTGCAGGCCAAGCTAGTGGTCCTACAGCAAGCTCCCCAGTCCCCAGAGACTCATTAAAAGGCGACTTCTTTTTGGCCTCATCCTGACCTTCTGAATCAGAAACTCTGGTGGTAGCAATGATAACTTATCAAATTTACTTGGTGTTTCTGGTGAGGGCCAGGGGCTACAGGTTCACTGGATGGTCAGGGTGGCTGTCCAACACTTACAGGAATGAGACTGACATGCTTTGAAATGTCCCCTTTGTGCCGGTCATCCCACCCATGTAGCCCCAGCCCTCCCTGCCCCTGCAGCTCAACCCTCCCAGTTGGCAGGCCTGTCCCAGGGTCACTAGTCCCCTGTGCATGTCCATCCTTCCCTCCAGGGTACTTCAACCCACCTTGGGCCAGAATTCAGGAACCATCCTGTGACACCTTCCTCCTAGGCTTCATGTCCAGTGCATGGGCAAGTCCCATTTTCTGGGGGCTCTATTTCTAAAATGCACAGCAGCTGTCTGCTTCTTTCTCCCCATTGCCCCATCTTAGCAGTTCCTCCCAGAACTCCTGTTGCCACCTCCTAAACCGTCTTCTCCTTCTAGTTCCATGCAGGGCTGAAAAGGCCTTTATTCGGCAGATCACATCAGCACCTGCCTCAAAACCTCTTTAGGTTTCCATTTGAAGCCCAGTATACCAACTCCTGGCTGTGCCCTGCAGGCCTGGCCGCCTACCTCCACCAGGGTACCCTCACCTGTGTTTCCTGAGCATCCCTTGGCTTTGAATGTCCTCCTCCTACCCTGAAGGCCTGGCCCCTCCTCATAAATATGAGGCCTCAGCATATTTAAATATATTATTTCTCTGCCTAGTTCTATCACCTGGCCCATGTCTCCTGTGTCACACTTCTCACTGTTTGAAATGGGTTGTGTCTTCATCTGTGGCTTGTTCTTTGTCCATCTCCCCAAGAGCCCTGGGAGGGTGGTGGCTGTCCTGTTCACTGCTCATCCTTGGGTCCTGGCATGGGACTGACCACTGTGAGACTTGCTGCTGTTGGATGAATAGATTCATTTGTTCAACAGAGTCAGCAAATGCATGTTGGTAATAATGCCAGCCATTTATTTGGCACCTTTTATATGACAGGCACTATCCTTTTATTAGCCCTTTTGAGGCTTAGAGCAGCACCCTGTGAACAGAAATGCACTTCTAATTTGACAGATGAAGAAATTGGGGCTGAGATAGCTGAGGGAAGCTCATTTACTGGGTCTGATGATTACACAGCCAATAGGGCCTGGTCCAGATCTCTCTGTCCCAGAGCCTGTGCCTACAGTCACCGTGTCTTCCTGCAGGTAGCCTCAGTCATTGGAAGGATTCAGAAGCAGTACATGTTGCGAAGAAGAAGATGTCAGTTGGGACTCACTGGTCCAGAGCATTATTGACAGCCTCTGGCTAACTTGAACATGCTAGGATTTGTTGGAAGGATGTTGGTTTGCTCAGAGAATGTCTTAGACAACTTAGGGGCCAGAACCTAAAGATGGTCTATGCAGTGTAGATGATCTTAAGATATTCGAGCTTGGCTGCTGTCCATCTTTGAGAGAGACCCATCACCTGAGCCTGGGTTCCATACCCAGCCTTGGGCATCCTGAGTGCAGGACGGCAAAGGGTGGCTTCTCACAGGAAAATTGAGGTGCCATTGCCAGAAGAGGCACAGTGATGGTGGATGTCCTGACCAAACCAGAGAAAAAGGGAATGAAAGCCCACATTGACAGTCCTACCACCGTTAACAATTTGCTATTCTTTTGTAGTTTTATTTTGATGTGTATTTAATATGGTACATATATTTTAACAAAATTTAAGTTTCATATGGTTTAGTATCCTTTTTCTGCTTGATAATTTTATAGTTTTATGTTTCTTTTGTTTGTTTGTTGTTTTTTTTCCCAGCTTATGTTTGCACGTTGACAACTTTTTTTCTGTCATTAAACCCTCTTCTTTAAAAAAGGTGTCATATAGGTTGGTATGAGCATGTCTTTAGAGTGAATTCCAAGAAGTAGACTTCTGGATCACTCAAGGAAAGGTAGGGTGCTGGTATATATTACACAGGAAGTTAGGTCTGCTTCCACTATTCCAGCAGTGAGCAGAGCCCCGTCACCCACTTCTGCCACCTGCTGGAGCCAGACTGGGCCACACAGGGTCAGTGGATAGAGGAAGAGGGGCATTTAGCAAAGACACAAAGATAGACCCCCTGGAGCCAGGCTGGGCCACATGGGGTTGGTAGATAGAGGAAGAGGGATGCTGAGCAAAGACACAAAGATGGGGACACACAGAGTGAGAAACTTAGGGTAAATTTTGTTGGCTGGCGGCTACAGGGACTGCCTAGAAAGGAGAGTTGGGCCAGCTTAAGTGTATTAGCTCTTCTCAAATCTGCCAGCCATTGTCATGATCAGCTATCCTAGAGCTGCGATGAAGCGGCCTGGTAATGTGTGAGTAGGATGAAGGTGGCCCGAACCACCTCCTCACTCACCACCCACGTCTCTTCCCAGGGAAGCCAGGGGCAGGAAGTGTGAATATGTTGTCTGCAGCCTAGGGGTGGCATTGAGGGATTGCAAGCTGGTCTCAGGAGCTGTCTGTACAGGGCAACCTGCGAGGTGGCTCCATGCTAGGCCCAGCCTGCGCTCTCTCATAGAGTTCTCCCCTGACTCCTGTCCACCGAGCAGGGTCAGTCTTTTGTGCCAAAGTGGGGACTTATCTCCTTGGCTGATTTCCACTCAAGACCCTGGCAAAGGAGGGAGTTGTAACTGTTATGAGCTTACCCTCTTCATCATATTTAGGGCGTTAGAGTTGGGTTATACTCAGGTTATCAGAACCTTCTTTCTTACTGGAACATGCTGACATTTTAAACCCAAAGTAAGCTCAGTAATAACTAATTTTTATTGAGTCGATAGTATACTGTATAGGCAGAGGCTTTCCCTGTAGCGATCCATTTAACCTTCATAATAGCCTGCAGCATAGCCTACATATCTTATTATCTCCGTTTTACAGACAAGGAAACTGAGGCAGAGAGGTTCAGCCACCTGCCTAGATCAGCAGCTAAAAAGTGGTGAGTGAACTCCAGGGCTGTGCTGTGCTGTTCGGGCGTGCAGAGCTTAAATAACACGACTTTTGCTCTCTGCCCTCCACAAGAGATTTTTTTAAATGCGTGGCACATTCTCCAGTTACAGTCATGACATTTCACTCTGTATTGAGAGGTACTTACAAGCTGAACTAGGCCCAGGGCTTGGATGAGGAGTGGAATGTGTTCTTTCAGTGTGAAGGTTGGTTTCCAGGTGACGTATCTGCCAGATTCGATGTTGATTTTAAGAATAAATGTCAAAAATTCCCACTCTGTCATTGAGTCCCTTCCTTCAACCTCAAATAAAAGTGTAGGCCACTTTTTGAGCTTACAAAGATAATGAATTAAATTTCTTTATACATTTCACACCAAATGATGCCATGACCCCAGAATGTGGACCAAAGTGAGGCTAACCCTGAAAGGCTCACATTTTCTCATGGCACATAGAGAAGACTTGGGCTCTTTTAGGGACAGTATGGGAGCTTCTCCTGGGGTGCTGCCCCCTCCACCACCACCCCAGCCCTATCATTGGTCACTGAAGCTCATGGTATGTTTCTGGCCCACACCAGAATTGTCTTCATGCTCACTGGTCTGGGGTTTCTTTAGGGGATAATAGAAATATTCTGAAATTAGAAGGTGGTGATGATGGCGTAACTTTATTCCCTTAGCTGTTCAGATGGCTAGCAGTTCCAAAACTGATCTACTCTTTTGGTTAGATATGGTTATTTTGGACAAAAGTTCATGACACCTTTAAAGGGTCCTAGGTATGGTACTGGTTTTCAGGTTGTGTTCTTCAGCTCCCCCCACACACTTGAACCCCCTCCAGTACTTGAGCCTGTCCCAGCATCTATTCATCTGAGTGGATTAGGGCTCCAGTGAGGGTCCCAGCCAACCTTTACACAGCAAGGACCAGGTCTAGCTGGGGGGGTAGGGGGGACGGGCTCTATTTCTAACCTGCACACTTGGTCCTGAGCCTGTGAGCTGGTGCAGCTTGAGGGGAGGGCTACCCTGCTGTCTGCCCCTCTGTCCCTTTCCAGCACTGTCCTCTTCAGCATCCACCTTCCCTAGTATGTCTTCCTGGTAATCACTGAACTCGTGTCTCTCACAGTAGTTGACTCGTGGACTTCACACCAGCATCCCTGGGTCTTGGAGGGATCACCT